CCCCAAAACCCCAAAACCCCAAAACCCCGTATTAATATCAAACTATTGAAGGTGGTTAATAATAATTATATTCATGAATTCCAAAATCATTCTAAACCGTCCTTCTCAAGACATTCTGTTATTCTCAGATCTTTCTTTCATTGATGCAGAGCCCTCTCCTCAAATTCCAAATTCTTCAGTCAAATTCACAAACACTCTTCGATTGAACAAAGGTAGAGCTAACAGGGCTGACTTCCGTTCATCTTCTATCACCAAAAATCCCAATGCCACCACCAAGCCCCTTCATTGCCACTTCCAAAGAAAACCCAAAAAAAAGCTCAAAGATTATAAACCAATGACCTATGACCCTAAGATCTGTGCTACTTGGAGAGTCCTTAGCTTGCCTAAGACTTCCAAAGAGGGTCTCAGAAGTATTCCCTCGAGCGAAATTCTTAAAATCCTGCTCATATAGCCAGCATATTAAGCAAGACTCCAATACCGACTCTGTATAACTTATAACTTAATTATAAAATCAAACTCCACTTCTCTCACAATCCATCACCTAAATCTTTCCTACTATTTTCTCATTCTTGGTTATTTTCAGTCTTGTCCAGCACCGGCCCTTCACCATACCCCCTCTAGCCTTCCTTTACTAATATCTCTTCTGTTAACACCCAAAGTTTTATAAGGTCTATAGTTAAAGACAGTTTCCTATATCTATAAATATCGAAAGGAAGTAGGCCTGTTTAAAATGCTCTTTTATGCAATATTTGTTCAAACTTCTCTTCCCACTAACCTAGTTCCCGAATTAAAGAAGTAGTTAGATTAGAGTTTTCAAAGTTGGTACATCTCGCACCATGACTGAAATAGTTTACAGGGAAGGCTATAGTTAAAACTAATATCTCTTATCATTATATTTCAGCAAGTAAATTTTTGAGGAGTAATTGGCATCCTCCTCTTGAAATAAAAACTAGCTTATCATAATACTTCAAGAAACAAAACTTCAAATGGCAAGATCACAATATTTTTGATCTTCGATCTCTTCAAGAAGCATTCTGAGAATATTTTCATTCATTTTATTATCAACCCAGATAGAGCTGATTGAGTGCTAGCAGTGGAGCTCTACTATCAATGATGACTTAGCATAGAAACTCTTTTAGTTTTGATGAATAAGAGCATTACTTGATAAATTTCTGGAAATTTTTACCAATTTATGGGCAATTTTGAGGTGCAAAAAGATCTCCAATGCTTTATACCACGAAGAGATTACATAATTATCCAATAAATATCATTGTCAAAACTATCCACCCAGTTGACTAATCTTCCATACTTGTTCACCTAACTTAGGTCTAAAATACTGAGACTTTGCAATATTTGTTCTAACGATACAGATGTTTCATAAGCATCGCTTATGTATTTAAAGGAGCTATAAGGTCAAATCTATCTAATCTCTGTACTCCTATAAACAAATTGTGATAAGGTCATAGGGTAGCTAAATATTCTTTGACCTGAAATTCATGAATCTCTTCACCATAAATCATTAATATTTCACTAAAATTAAAGATCTAAAAAGATAGGAAATCCAAATTAGAGACGTCCGATTCCAAACAGACCATCTACAGTCCCAAATCTTCCTAATCACCTCATAAAAACCGGCACCACAACACATCCCTGTAACCAGACCTCTCTGCCCACCTCCATTTTCCACCCCATCCATCCCACTGGTCACTACTGCCAAGCTATAAATTTCCCTGTGCCTCGCTGAATTCCTAAATTTTGGGGCTAACTTCTTAAGCAAGAGCTGTCAGGGATAAATAACCCAATTTCCTAACCCGCCAAGATGACTCAAATCCAGTCCTAACCACTCCTATTTCCCACCCGCCCCAAAACCCTCCCAATCCCCCATCCCTCCACCTTCTAAATCCCCCTCACAACCCACGATCCCTCTGAACCCCTCCATCCTTTAAAATTTCACTAAGAAAAATATATTGTCAACAAGCTTTCTACAGCCAGGGGTTTTGGGGTTTTGGGGTTTTGGGG